GCAAATGTGTGTTTTTAACATATAGAATCTTTAATCTTGAATCTAGGGTTTGGAAAGTCTAGTTTAATGAAAATAAAATCCATATTCATAATCTTTTTACAACTGTAGATCAATTTACAGGCGTTCATTTAGCATTAGTGATGTTAAACGAGTCATAAATGTTCTGCTTACATGGTGCCGGCACACTTTTTGGGAGAAAATCAGATAATAAGGGAGTGATTGATGCCGTGATCGTCCAGAGAAAGATGCAGGACTGGATCAGAGATTAGAGGATCTATCAAAAAAATGTATCAACATACAGTAAATGATCTATTAGTCACGTAAAAAACATCTCAAACACACAAAACAATGCATGCATAAACCATTTTATCTGTAGTCACACCTTTAAATGGTGAATAAAGGCTTTAGTATAATTAGATTACATGCAGACAGTGCATACGGATATATATATATATATATATATGTACACACACACACACATATATATAACAAAAAACAAAAAATATATTATATATATATATGTATAAACAAATTAATAATTATATTAATATATAATTACACATTTAATTAAAATATTTTAAATAATATACTACATATATATTTGTAATTAATTTGATATTTTATACAAATAATATAAAAGTATATACATATTTAAAAAGTTTTAAGAATTATATTAAAAATAAGAATTTTTATGAATTATAGTAAAGTGCAAATGAAGTACAAACGATCATTGTAGTGCAAAGTACAAATGTGGTTCAGAATAGTAAAATATGCCACATTTGTACTTTTACTCTCTATTCTAAATATTGGGTCCGTAATGCATGCAGAACCTGAAAGCAGTCAGTAGAGATCCATCAGTTAAGCAGCAGAAGCTGTGATGTTGAGATGTTAGACGGCTTTACTCACATGTTCCCGCTGCAGGTCTGGCTCTTCTCGTCAGTCTGGTTCCTTCTGCAACAGAACCACAAACTTAGAGCAGAACAGACACAAACCATCCGTCTCCACTGATCCTGCTCTCTCTCTCTCTCTGCTGGTCTCTTATCCAGTGCACTCTCTCTCTCTCTCTCTCGCTCTATCTCTCTCTCTCTCTCTCTCTCTCTCTCGCTCTCTCTCTCTTTCTCTCTGTCTCTCGCTCTCTCTCTCTCTCTGTCAGCCGGGACGGGGGATGATTTAACGGGCCCCTCTGCGCGTTACCGTAAATCGTTAAGGCAAACCGGCGGGACTCTCATCCAATCAAAGCGATGCTCTCTCAAGCGCATATTTCACATCCATCTCACCTGAGTGTGGCGCTGGCATTACGAGCATGCGTTCAGATGTGATGAACGCTCGCATGCACAAGAGGAAGTTAAACATTATAATGGATCAAGCAACATATGAGGAAACTATATAACATGCACTCTGGTTTCAGATGGTAATAACATGATTTATATGGTACAAGGATGCTTTTATTTTCTCCCAAAACACTAAATTGCAACAACACCACCACCACAGCACTTTCACAATGTTTTTCATTATGCACATAATAATTCCTGCATATAATACTTTCAAGCTCAGTTTCCTGCATATAATATTTTCCTGCTCCGTGATGTGATCAAATGCAATAGTAGGAGCTCATTTTAAAGGTAATCTGATCTAACACGGCAAATTATGACACATATTTTGAGATAAGACTTGATTTAATAACCTTCCACAAGCATAAACAACAGCAACTAAACAAAAGGACCGTATGTTTTGAAGTTATGAAATGTCAAAAGTGTCATTTTTAAAGTTTTTTTTTTTGAGTAACTATTTATTGAAATGTATCACATAAAAGTAAAAAAAATATTTTAACATTTAAAATATAAAAATGCATATAATTTTTTAACATAAATGTAACTTTTATTGATTATAAAAGATCTGAAGTGCTTATTTTGAGTAACTATTTATTGAAATGTATCACTTATAAAAATAAAAAATATTTAACATATTTGAATATAAAATGTTATATATTTTTTTTTCATATACAGTCATGGCCAAAAATATCGGCACCCTTGGTAAATATGATCAAAGAAGGCTGTGAAAATTAATCTGCATTGTTAATCCTTTTGATCTTTTATTTAAAAAATTCACAAAAATCTAACCTTTCATTGGATAATAAGAATTTTAAATGGGGGGGAAAATATCATTTCTTGTCAGGTGCTCTCTAAACTCATCAGGCATTATAGGAGAAAACTCAGAGCTGTTATTATGCCAAATGGAGGTTTCAAAAAGCATTGAATAAAAGGGTGCCGTTAATTGTGTCCAACGTGTATTTGAGAAAAACATTTATGTCATACTGACATTTCCCCCCATTTTAAAATTCTTATTATCCAATGAAAGGTTAGATTTTTGTGAATTTTTTTAAATAAAAGATCAAAAGGATTAACAATGCAAATTAATTTTCACAGCCTTCTTTGATCATATTTACCAAGGGTGCCGATATTTTTGGCCATGACTGTATATAATTTTTATTTATAATAAAATATTGAAGTGCTTATTTTGAGTAACTACTTATAAATGTATAAATGTATCACTTATAAAAAAAAATATTTTAACATATTTGAATATAATTTTTTTAACATATATCATTTTTATTTATTATAAAACATTGACGTGCTTATTTTGAGTAACTATTTAAATGTATCACTTATAAAAATAAAAAAAATCGATTTTAATATATTTAAATATATAATAACATATAAGTATATATTTTATTTATTATATATTAAGTATTGTGTCAAACTGCACCTGTATAAAATAAAAATACAAAAATAATATAATAATAATAATATATATATAGTTTATATTTATTTTAAATATTTATATATTATAATATATTGTGTTAAAAAGCATCTACGTAATACAAAAACGATCAAATTAAACAACTGAACCTTTCAAAAATTCTCAATAATCTATATAGCTTTATAGTGGTAACGCACAGTAAACGCTGGCAGTA